CCATTCCCCTCTCCCACTCTCTCCTGCAGGCGTGCTGCGCCGTCCGGTGAGCTCTGGAGGAGATGCGCCTTGCCTTCCTCCAGGAACTAGCGGCGGCGGGGACGGCGCGGGGGCAGGGGGGCGGGGAGAGAGTTCGTCGACCCGCCCGCCTTGACTGACAAGCCTCTGCCTCCTCCCACCCCTCTCCGTCGTGTCGGACGTCGACACCCGATCGGTAACGATGCTGAACTTTGTGAGCGTCTGCGCTGGCGTGGCGTGTCGTGGAGGGCACGGCGTCGTGGCTCCTCACGTGTGCGCGGGTGGGGCGTCGCGGAGAGTCGCGGCGCCCAAGAGGACCGAGTGGGAGTAATGCCCTCTGCGGCGCAGTGCCCTACTCTCTCTCTCTGTCTCTCCATCTCCCTCTCTCGCTCTCCTGCTCGGTTGTCCGGCCTGCCGTTGGTACTTGTGCTGCCAGCCTCTTACCTTTCCGTCGGCGCCGGCCCAAACCGGCTCGGCTCGCACCCGGGCGGGAGGCCGGGCCGCGGGGCACTTCGGCCCGGCTCGGCTGAGCTCAATGGCCGCGGCGTCCCGGCTCGTCAGCTCGGGAGCGTTACTCTCGTCCATTTTTATTCTTTTGGGCCGGACTGGCCGGGCCGCCGGCTCCGCTCTGCCGTGGCAGTGACCTTGTCTTGCTCGGTGCGTTGAGTTTCAGGAGGAGGAGGAGGAGGCGGCGCGGCGGCCAGGGGGGCCGGCCGCCAGCACTTCAACTTCTTCAACTTCAAAAAGGGTTATAACGACTGCTTGTTCATAGCGAACTGGAGCCACCCATAACTCAGGTCACGCAGTCAGGCCTCAGTCGGCCCATCCCCTGCGTTCCAGCTAGTGCTGGTCCGGCCGGGAGTGCACAGCCTGTCGCGCCGTACCGTATTCACTGGTCGCCGTCTGCACTCTGTTTTAGCTCAGGCTGATACGGCGGTCCCGACTGTACTGGTCCCCATCGCCTCAGTGGCGGTATAAGGGCGGGCTACATCAACCTGCAGCGGATGAAATGTACTCAAATCACCGCCCGGTTGTCGCATTCCCGCCCGTGGCGTGTGCGTGTGAGGTGTTAACCCCTGCCACTTGACCTTGAGGTGGTGCGCATTGCACCCCCTCTTAGTGGTCATGTGATGTGATGCTGTAAGAGGACGCTGGGTTCACATTAGCGATGGTGGGTCACCGAGGAAGGGCGTCCCGGACCGCGACCTCGCACCGAAGTGTCCGGCCTCCCTATTGGTCCCGGGGGTCGCCCCCCTCAAATCGGTGAAGGCTAAGGAGTAAAATAATTAGAAAGCAGCGAAAAGAATTAAGAGCAGTCGGCAGGCAGGAAAAGGCGGCTGCCTGGCTGTGTCGTGTTTGAGACAGAGAGGAATGGAACTGAGGGATTCTGGGCTCCATCTGTAGGAATGTGAGTTTGGCGATGACGACGAACCCTTTCTTGTACGCGTCCCCCGGCGGCTCGCGCGGCTCGCTCTGCTCGGAGGGGAGGGTGGTGGCCCGGCGTGGTGGTCCAGCTGAGCAGCCCGTCGGCTTGTGCCGGGGCTGCGCTTGCTGCGCTACGTGACGCGGGCCGCGTCTGCTGTCTGTTGCTCGCCCTCGTCCCCGAGGGGTGCCGCCCATCCGTCTGGAAGGGTTGCTCGCCCGCCCCGCGCTCTGCCGCCAGAGGCTCCCAAAGGTTCCCACGGGGCTCGCACGGCTCAGGAACCTGCTGAAGGATCGGCGGATGCCATGCTTTTTATTTCCTCGCATTCCCTCCCCACGTCAGCTCCCGTCTCGCCACCTGCCTCCGCGGGTCTTCCTCTGGCACGCCGCCCCCGCGCGTCCGCCGGGGTCGCCCTCCACCCCGTCATCCTGGTGGTCCAGGCTGCGCGGCTGTGGCTGATGGAGCCGGCAGGTGCTTCCCCGGCTCCCCC